TTTAAACTAAATTGTGTAATCATGAAATATTGTTATGATTGCACAGATTATAATTAGATAGTGCGTGCATTTTTATCTTTGTGGATGTGTGACCATATTAAGTGATGCTTTGGTAATAATAATAATAATCTAGAATCCTAGAATTTGAGTTTAACATACTTGAACACTTACAATTTTTTTTAATGCGTTAAGAAAGCAATCGGTCACTTAGAACTGTTAGAACCACTTTCATTTAAATTAAACTATGCGTCGTTATGTGTTAAGTTATGTATTTAAATTAATTGTGTAAATATATCAAGTTTTGTTTTTGTTACCATTGTTACTCGCATGATTAGTTAAGAAAAAGTTTAGTATAGTTTATTAATGATCTACAATCATATAATTTTAACTCTTCAATTTTTATTTACGTATGATATTTTGCTTTTAAAAAGCTTATTAATGACTCAAAACAGTCGGAGCAACCTTTTATGAATGCTTTTTTCTTCGGAAACTTATGTTACGATTTCGTAATCAGATTAATGGTTTTTAAATTAGATTGCACAAATAATGAATTGTTATAACATTAAATAATGAAAATTTTAACGTTAATAATACACTTTTGTTATTTTAGTTGTTTGCAAAATCATTCTTATGAATATTTTATGATACATATTTGCCTTAATAACAAATATAAATGATCGCAAAAGTGATTAGGTGGGAAGGTACTTTATTTACGTCACACTGGAGCCTGCATAATGGGCTATTGGAGCGGGTCTGGGAAACATCCCTAAGGACGATTGCAATTTTTTGATCCTTTGCTTGACACTTGCCATTTTTTGCCAGTTTTTGGCACTTGCCATTGCAAAATTTTTGATCCTCTGCAGAAGGGATAGAAGGGATTTGGATAAACTTTAAACTCTATGAATATTTAATATGATACGAATGAACTCAATGAAATCAAAATTTTCTTTTTTTTTTCGTAAAAATCCCTATCTTTGCAATACAGAAGTAGTAGAAAACAATTTAAAAACTTATAAAAAGAGCAGACAAATAATTGTTTCGCATATTATAAATTGTAATGCTAGAAACTATCACTACTGTGAAATTTTAACTACTTGTAAAATATGAGATTTAAGTGGATATTTTTATGAGAAACTAGCATATAATATGAAATAAACTAAACTTGTACAGAAAAATATGGTATATTCATGTAGAGCATGAAAGAACAAAATTCTAATTTATAACCATTTTTTTTCTTTCATTTATATGATTAGAAACGGAATTTGCAGAGAATCTCAAATTTTTTGAGGAAATGTTATGCATAAGAATAATAAAGTACTACTTTGAACTGGTAGACTTAACTGATATTCAGTGAGCTGATACTCTATGAAATTTTTTTTTATCAAATTATGGCAAAAAGTACCGCAGTCAGGGTGTCGGTACTTTTTATCATAAAATCCATCTTTACCGAAACATGTTACGGATTAATAAAACTGATATATCATAATTTTTACATTAAGAATTGCATTAAAATCACTGAATCACTCTAATTATATAAATATTACTGCAAAACTTAGAGTAAAAATGAATTTTACGGTAAAATAGAGTTTACGGAAGATGTGCTTGTACAAAAATTTTTACAGTGTACTGCTTTGAAATGATATACATGTATGAATGAGCAATTTAAAACTTATAAACATCATCTTTTACTATCCCCATTAATTTAAGGGCTACTTTTCTTTGAATCTCGGCTTGGTTCATGAACAAATTGAAATAAACTAATGATTTTAGTACATTTCCGTTGCAATATTTGAACTTTTCACTTTCTGTTTCTCCTCCGGATTTTATTCATAAAAATTGTATAAGGTTACTAAATTACGATTAAGGTAGAATGCCACACTGCTTCAAAAATATTTAGAATATTATAATGAGCAAAAATGCACGCATTTCTTTGAAAATTATTCAGAACGCTTGAAATAAATTGAAATTATTAACACTTGAAAAGATTGAACATTGCTTGGAAAGTCTGAAGAGGCCAGTCTGGCTCCTTCGCTATTGTTTAAGGGTAGATTACTTAGACATCTGAAATCTTAAAATATAATGATAAGTAATTTAATAGGAAATATATTAAAGACTCGGTCATCAAAATTCTATGGAATTTTATTCAATTTGATTAACGAAAACATTTGATTAAATGAAACGCTAACTTTTCGAATATACTTATGTAGTTTCTTAGCTTATTAAGTTTCCTTATCTCTATATATATAAATATTGAAGATATATTGAAATTTTTTAATGAAACTAGGATACTTTATACTTACCCAAACCTACCTGAGATTATGAGGTACCTACCAAAATATAGATCTAAAGTTATATACATCCTTTTATTATAGATATAAGGTTATGTACATACGTTTCTATAAGGCTAACGTATAAATGATTAAATGGGCATATAAATTGAATCAAATTATGACAAGTCAAAAATACTCAATGCTTTGAGTAATTTTTTTTAATAACGAAGCAATAAAAGCGATATATTCCAAATTGACTCCATCCATCTTTCTAGAAGGGGGATATTTGAAAACGGTAAAAATTTTGAGCTGATGTGCTTCAAAATTTAACATAGCATCGATGTAAGTTGCGTTTATAGCATTAAATATGTTTTTGAAACATTTTCGCATTATATTATACAGTAAAATGTTCTAAAAGTCAAGATTTAATATTTAATTGATGAAAAACTACGGATGCAATAAAGAAGTCCTATGTATTACAGAAATTACATTGGTTGTATATGGTTTGAAATTTTATGACTTATTAATAATAAGTGAATCGTATTAAACTATTACTGATTTTGCGAGCATAAAAATACTATTTTGATAAAACACCATTTGAAATAAGCGAAATATAATTTCGCTCAATAGCTGACAAATACAAAACGTTCTGCATCTTCCTTATTTATAGGTATTTTTTTTAAGACTTTCAGGGCAGAGTTTTCACATTTACCTTTTGCACAGTGTCCCAAAACAGTCATAATGTCTTTTGAATAGTTCCTGAGAAAATAGTCGCATTTTTGGAATTTGATTTCTCAGGAACTATTCGATCGATTTTGTCTTCTGTCATGTAAAATTACATTCTTTAAAATGATCCTTAAAATTCAAAATTTTTTAACAATTATAAGATAAACTAATAAAAAATGTGTACTAAAAGTTATTTTTCGCATGGAATTATCTTTAAATAAACGAATTTTATATTTGTGTGCAAAAATTCTTCAATGCGCTTAAAAAGTTCTCGATATATTATGAACTAAGCAAAAAATAAAAAAATTAACATTAAGGGGTCCAAATTTTGGACCGCTTTCCTGGCCAAACTATTGGGGTCATATTTCTCAATATTTCCTAATATATAGCTATAGTGCGTCTACCTTCTATATTTCGGATATTAGAAATCCGAATCCGTTGGAAAAAAAAGCTAGGCTTATTTAGAGAAAGTATGTTTTTGTGTCTGATTTCGTAACTTAAAATATTTTCTGCATTAATTAGTTGGCATATTTGAGTTAGGTTCCTCATACCATTAGGATAGAACCCTAGAACGTGGAAATTCCATCATTAGATTAAAACTTAGTCAGGATGATCTTTTCTTAAGTGCACTCTATTGTTTTAAAACTTTTATCGTTGTTCTCTTTAAAAATTAGTAACAATGAATTTTGCATACTTGGTAATAGTATCAAACGCTTTTCTGAGGTAGACTTTCTGAAGTTGTTATTTCTTAGAAAATGTTAAATCAATTTTTTTAGTTACAAATCAGAACCCAAATGTGCCAAAAATTATACTTTGTTACAGAAAAAAAATTTGCGTCGTAATTTTTAAATTTAATGTGGTAGGTACTAATTAATTAGCAGATCTAAATTACGTAATTAAAAGCACGAGTTAATTAAGGTACGTTCAGTAAACAATTGTCCGCGGTCGACTAGATCCGGAATCTCTTAGCCTTTTGAAAAAATTGAATGAAACTTAAAAACCTACTGTTTAAAAGTTTCGATAAGAAAAACTAAGCATATATTTAAAAAATTTTCTTTAAAAATAGATTTTTAAAAAATAGATTGAATTTTAAAATAGACTGTCGTTTTTTTAAATAGATTGTTGTATTTCTTTAAAGTTCATGTGGTTATTACTAATTTATTTGCAAATCTAAATTACGGAATTCAGGTCGCGAGTTAATTAAAGTTAGATCAGTGGAGACTAGTCCTCTGATGAATGGATTCGGATCCTCTCTGCTTTTTACAAATAAAAAATTAAATTAAAAAAAAAAAAGAACTCCTGTCTCTAAAAGTTTTGATAAGAGAAACTTCGAGTCTAGAGACGAAGTGGCTCAGCGAAGAGAGCGTTCGCTTTCCAATGAGGTGAACCGGGTTTGAATCGTGCACCCGGCTCGCACCGACCGCATTACTGACGTAAAATATCCTCAGTGGTTAACGGATCATGGGTTAGAATCTCTTTGCCTTCAGGCTAAAGTGGGAGTTTTTTGTGGTTTTCCTCTCCATGTAACGCAAATACGGGTTTGCGACAAAAACTCATCCACGGTGGCTAATTTCACCCAACACTTGATCCAGGAGGTCCCTTGTCTTCTGGATTGAGTTCAAAATTATTAGACAGCGGAGTTAAACATTAGTAGTTGTAAATTCAAATTAGCTGTTCAACGACGGTTGCAAAATAAAAATATAAAAACTCCGAGTCTGATTTTTTAAATAGTGCATCTTATTTGTTTCGTTAATTTTGTTTTTATCCAACAATAAATCAAATAATGACTGAGTAATCTTTCGAAATTTAAGAAAAAATTTTTTTTATTTATTTATTTTCTCAAATCATTCGTTTTGCTTACTTGTTTCTTTAATTTTAATTTCACATAACAATAAATTAAATAAAGAAGGGACAATGTTATTAATCACTTTTCCACACTATAACGCAATCCACACAATAACATATAATACCTGCAATTAAAATGCAAAAAAAATGCACACTTACTGTCTTATCCTGGATTTATTTTAGCCCAATTCGGGATAGTGTCCATCGCTTTGCGTATCATATTCTCAAATATGATACAGCTCCTGATACAAAAGGCAAAAACACATCCACACTGCTTTATTAACAACTATATCCATGATACCAGTTGGATGAAGCAAACGAAATTTCAGAAATACGAGTCACTTTATTGCGAAATTCCCACGGACAGTAGTACGCTTCAACTGAAAAACTCTACAGGTTTTCGCCACGCGGAGTAGCCTGACGTGCGTCCTCCGGTCTTCAATTACAGGTTTTTTTTTCTTTCTCATTTAACCTGTCGTTGCTCTGTTTGAGAATTGTTGTGTATGTTTCAACCATCACCATGACTACTGCACTTGCGTACTAACTTAGAGAATCAATAGGGATGAATATGTCACCATAAGTTTTTTTGGCATCAATAATAATGCATGCTGTCTAAAAATCAAATAATGAAAAAAAAATACGTGCATATTTGGGTGTAAAAAGCAAATCCTTAAATAAAATGGAGGCCAACTATAAAATGTTCTTTCGATTGTTGATTTGTTCTTGTTAAAAGTTGTGGCTTTTACTGGCTGTCAAACGGCCTTGCCGGTATTGTTGGAAACTTTTCTTTGGTCGTCAAGAGGCGGAGTTTCTTTTTCAAACTTTTACTTTTTAGTTTCGAGATGAAAAATGTTTTATTTCTTGTCTCACTAATCTAGTTTATTCAGTTTTGAAATACATTAATTAACCAATTAATGAAATGGAAGCCTCTTTTCCGGTATTGAAAGTTTTATTTATTTATTTAGATTGCAGTTTTCTTTCTAGGTACAATTGCCTTATATATTTTTGGACTTTTTAATTAATATTATCAAGATCAAAAAGAAATTAACTCCTGTTGTTTTCTTAATTTATAACTTCAGCAGTATGGATTATTTTCAAACTAATTATAAAAATTATCTATAGACTGAAATTGTTCTTCCTTTTTTTTATTAATTTTAGTGTTCATATTGCGCAGATTTTTGCTGTTATTTAATTTTTTATTACTATTGTATATGACAGTAATTCAAACTTCTTGAAGTGTTATTTCCAATCAAGCATACGAAATTTTATAAGTATGTGGAAATTAAACACTTTTTATCATAAATTTAATGCAGGTAGTCTACAAGTAAATGTAAAAAATGTTAGTTTAAACTGCTTATAATTTTATCCAGACGTAATTTTAAATTGCAATTGTAAGGAAACTGTTTCTTCATTATGTATCCAACTTTAAAGTTTCTTTATTTTCGTAAGAGTTTATTTAAACATGCCTGTACAGTTTGTTTTTTATAGACAAACATATTATCTAATCTCGTGTTAATCACATTTTATACCACGGAATTGAGAGAAAAAAACATCAATTTATTCAACCCATTCCTTCAAGCGGTTTTTAAATATCTATAAATTACTTTTAAACTTCACAGTTTAAATTAGCAATGTTTACAAACTCAATTAAAATAGTTTAAATATTTCTAAAATATTTATATATCGTAACAGATGTGTCTATTACGGTAAAATACATTTTTTTTATCTTCAATTCATTACAAATAAAAGTGAAGTCAGCATTTCTTACTTTATTCCAACGAATAAATATGATTTCATAACGTGCAGAACTGCAATAGAATTCAGCTATTCTGTTTTTAATCTACATATTGAAATTCATATCGAGATCTTACAATTATAAAATTTTGTTGTGTGGTATGTCATCTAATAGTAATGAAAGGATAATCTATGCATATATTATTTGAGAATAAAATTTTCAAATGAAGAACATTTCATTTGGAATTCTCCGGATTTATAAAGCAAGTAAGTTTTAGGATTTTTATAATGAAAAACTAACTTGTAAATAATTTTTTTTCTATTTTGATGATAGTTCTCCACGGAATGACTTTTTATGTCTGATTAGGAACTTTAATAATAAAAAAAAGAAACAATATGAACGTTTTTTATTTCAATAGCAGGAATTTTTGAAATCGCTTTTTTATCGTAAGAATTCTTTATTTTATGCTTTTTAGTTTATAATTTTTTTATAAAAATTGTTGTCAAAAAACTTTTTTTACAAAATTAAATTGTATAACATCATGTGTTTATGTATACTTCTTGCATATTCTAATGTTTGAAGTAATATGATTCAGAAAAGCATGGAGTGTGAAGTTTAAATATACCTTTCATATTAGATCATTAAATTTAGTATAGCAATTTCTTCGGCATTAGGTTTTAACTCTAATAAGAAGATTTCTTACAAATATTTTCCGATGTGTGTTGGATGTTCTCTCTCTGAAAAAAATGGATTCCATTTTGTTTTCACTTGCTTAAGGAAAGAATATCAAAACATTTTAAATTACAATTATAAAATTTTGTTGTGTGGTAAATCATCTAAAAGTAATGAAGGGATGATCTATGTATATATTATTTGAGAATAAAACTTTCAAACGATGAATAATTCACTTGGAATTATTCGGATTTATAAAGCAGGTAAGTATTATGATTTTTGCAATGAAAAATTTTACTTGTAATTGTTTTTTTTCTTATCTGATGATAATTTTCTATAGAAGGGTTTTCTATGTCCAATAAAGAATAAAAAAACATGAAAGTTTTTTTATTTTTATGCGAAGAATTTTTAGAATAGTTTTTTTGTTTTGCAAGCATTCTTTATTTTACGTTTTTTAGTTTATAAGTAATGATTTTTATCAAAACTTAAGATTTTTTTGATAAAAATTGTTGCCAAAAAACTTTTTTCTGCAAAATTAAATGATATAAAATTATGAGCCTATGTATACTTTTTGCATATTTTAATGTTTTTTATTTTATTTTATAACCGTCGTTGAACAGCCGACCCAATTTCATGGGTTTACGACTACTTACGTTCAACTCCGTAGCCTTGTAATTTTGAACCAATCCAGAAGACAAGGAAACTCCTGGATCAGTACCCCCAGAGGTATTGATTTGTTGTGGGAACATGGAGGACTTTGAGACTCGACAGATTTAACGTGCATCAGTCACCATTTACTACACGGGGAGTCTTCGGCCGGCGAGGATCGAACCCACGACCTCTTGGATATGGGCCCAGCGCCCTACCGACCAGGCTATCCCGGCCCATATTTTAATGTTTGAAGTAATTTGATTTCTAAAACTATGGAATGTAAAGTTTAAATAGGCTTTTCATGTTATATCATTAAATTTAGTAAAACGATTTCGCAGGCCTTAGGTTTTAACTCTAATAAGAAAATACATATTTTTTTTTCTGTTCGTTTACAAATATTTTTTCAATAAGTTTTGGATATTCCTTCTCTAAAAAAAAGATACCGTATGGTTTTTGCTTGCGTAAGAAAGAATATCAAACATTTTTCTTTTTTAAATTTAATAAGCCACAATAAAAAAGGAACATTTCAGTGCTACACTGAAGACATCTCCAGAGCAACTGAATGACTGTTCGTATAGAAATCGCAGGTATTCGTCTCATACTACAACGCCCCCTATAGTTCGTTGCGATCGCGAATACCTTATGAAACTATACTTTATTAACCAATAATACTTATGTAGCTTTCCGTTTTCAATATAAAAAAGCAAACGATTTTTAACTATTCTTTTTTAATTTAGGAGACCTGATATTCATAGTATATGGAAATTATTTTAAGACAGGAGGTAATATTTCTCCTATAGATTTGTTTTTGGATAAATTCTTTAGAAGATTTTCAGATTTTTGTAGTTTTCATCAAAACCTTTGTTTTTTATAAGGTTTTCATATTATTTACTTAATATTTGAATTTATCTCATATTAAAGATTCAGAATACTAAGCATTTTTAGATTCGACTTACAAGTTGTGGCCATTTACTTTCTTACAGAGAACATCGGAACGACTTTCAAATTTACTAGCTTTAGCTTAGGAAGCAAGTTCTTTAGAATTTGAAGCTCTTGGAAACCACAGTTTGTAAAGGTATTTTATAGATATTTCTTAGATAATATGTATTGCATGTTTATTTACGTAGTATAAATATATTCTAAATATTTGCATCAAGTTTAAGAATATCTTTTAAATTTTGCAGGGGATTAAAATGAGGATAAGTTTATTTCCGTTCATTCCACATTTTGAGTAGCGTTGTCTTATAATAAAATATACATACATCTAGAGCAGGGGTTTCCAACTTACATGAGACCGAGGGCCGCAATTTAAAACACCAGTCAAATGGCGGGCCGCAACTTTATCAAAATTTTATATAGGATTCTCTTATTTTTGAAGAAACATTATATTACTGTCATACTTTTATCAAGTTGTGCAAAACAAAAGTATTGAATTACAAATTAAAATAAGAAGTAGATTTTTACCTGAGAAATAATTTTTTTTTTGCACCATTGGTGTGTTAAATTTCACAGAGACGAAGAAATTAGGTTCTTTTTGTTTTTTTAACGAAAGAAAAATATTTTAAACCCATATAGATTTTTTACGAAAATTATCCTAAAATAATGACAACTAATATATTTTAGTTCACAGGCCATGAAAAAATACTTCTCTGGCTGAATGTGACCCTCGGACAGCCAGTTGGTATTCACTGATCTAGAATAAATACAGTTTAATAGGTACGTAATATCCTTAGCCTTTAAATTTCCCCCAAATATACCTTATACATTTTTCGATATTAATTTTGTTGCTCATCAAATAATTTTACGCCTCTAACTTCCCTGACAAAATTCAATTATTAACAAGACACTTTGAAACTATTTAATTTGATAAGGACGCAATTCATGCTAATTGTCAACTAATGTTTTCTCTACTAATTCAATAGAGGTTAATGGGTATGTAAATATTTTACAGATAAGTTTGTGTTACATGTATTAAAATGTATTTCAAAGTAAAAATAGTATTAAAAAAAACTAAATAAAAATAAAACGTATAAGCATCATCAACTTTCTTGGAAAAATACGTCTCAAGGCAATTTATTATTTTTTTTTAAAGTTTAAAAAAAAATATGTTATTTTATATTTTCCTTATTTCAAAAATGGGATCACACAGTTTAAAATTTTATCTATAAACTATTAAGACGATGATTTTTATTATCTTAATTTTAGTTAATGAAATTAGTTGAAAAATTTATTAGAATATTGGCATTTAAAATATAAAAATGTTTTTTTCTTCGTTGAAACAATTACATCTGAACTTAATTAAAATATGTTTTTAATGCGTCCTTTAACCATTTTTAAAAATACATTTAAGTTTTTTTTTTCTTTTCTTGTTTTAATACAATTTATTTTTGACCAAAATGTCTCATTCAAATATAAAACTTGTTTACCTACAGATGTTGATTTAAATGCCTGTTTATCTTAGAGCAAACTAATCCATTAGGAGGGTAAAAACTGAAACAAAACTACTAAAAAAAATTATTATTATGATAAATTATTATGATTATAATTACATAAATGAATTCCATTCCTCAATTCTTTTTGTTTTTATTTTTCTGTTTCTTCTATTCAGAAGAATGTGTTTAGTACATAATATTTTAATGATGAATTTTTCCTTTCTCAAATTTCAAAGACAGATTTCAAACTTATTTATGAAATCCTTCAACAGATGGAGCTGCTGATTGAAAAAAACTTTAAGACAATGTTGTCAGCCGTATGTCAAATAATTTAACTAATATGTTTTCATGGATATTTATTTATCTTGTCTTCACAATGCGAAGTTCTTCCTGCAATTTATGTCTTTATCCCCCATTAAAAATTTTATGGTTTTTCTCAGTTTGAAGTATCCTCTGTTGACAAACTAACTAACTAATACTGAAATTAGGTGAGAATAAATATCTGTCTTTTTAGAGCAGACCACAGCATATCGTTTTTTTTTTCTCTTTCGGTTTTTAATTTATTTAATTTTTTAATTTTGTAATAATTTTCATGATATTTGAAATAAGAGTAATTTTCTGCGAATTAAATCTAACTATACCAATTTTCTCACTCGTAACTGTTAAACAATATGGAGAAAAAATGAGTTCTAAATTTCCAATTTTAATTAAATATGAGGGACAGGGCTGCTGATCTATGTTACGCTAAATTTTAGCTTGAGAAACTGAAAGAGTTCAGTGAAATAATTAAGTAGCAAAACAGTTTTTGATAAGAAAAATCTTATCCCAACTTAAGACTGCAATCGATACTTTAAAGGCTCGTATTTTCTATTTCGTATGTTTCACAAACATTAATATTTTTAGAGTTATAAATTCCTTAATCAAAACTTTTCAAGATAATGCCTTTTTACTGTTTATAATATTCTGAAATATGTCTATAATATTCTGAATATTCTGAAATGTGTCTATAATATTCTGAATATTCTGAAATATGTCTATAATATTCTCAGTATTCTGAAATATGTCTATAATATTCTGAATATTCTGAAATATATCTCTAATATTCTGAAGTTTGTTAATATTCCGAAATATAAAGACCTAGTAAAAAATTTAGGAACACTTTTTCTGAAAATCGATCACTGAATTTTATAAATAACATTTGCTAATTACCATGCTTACTCCGAAAGAGAATTACTGGGTATAAATATGGACAAACTTTTTATTCCTAAAATTTGACATACTGTAGTTTTTACAGTTATAATTATAGTAAAATCACTGAATCAATCTGAATAAATAAATATTACTGCAAACGTTACGGTAAAATAGATTCTACGGATGATGCACTCGAAGTACCGGTAGTTTATACGGCAATTTGATCCGAAATTCAATAAGGGGTATTTGATGTTATGGGAAAAAATATCTGAAGCATTTACCCCTTTCTTCTCGCTCCCGTGAAAATGACGGGGAGAGGTTTCACCCTCTATTTCTCTCTCCCGTCATATTTCCGGGCTGGGGTGTCCAGTAGTAACGCGCCAATAAGAATAAAAGTAATTCATTTCTTTTGCCCGCAAAATATTTTATTTCTCATTTTACACACCGGATGGCAGTACCAGGATATTTTAAGGTATTTGTAGATAGTTAGTTTATTTTAAACTAGATGTCAGCACAAGATGTTTGGATTATTTAGATGTTGGATATCAGAAGAAAAATAGGCACTTTTATGGCCGTTTTTTTGAAAATTAACCAATCGTTAATGAGCTGAGAGGATTTTTATGATGCGTAATGTAAAAAAATGTTCCGAAATCTTAAGAAAAGGTTCTGTGGAGACGACTTAAGTACTGTGAGAGCGTTTACCTCGCAATGAATGCATACACAATTCGAAAATGTAGTGTAATTTATTGAAAACATGAACATGATTCATTCAGATACATAGCATCATTATCAGCGGATGTGTCGAAGCACCTAAATTTGCTATATCAAAACAACATTAGGAACATATAATCGAGTAAAATAAGCTTAACTGTGATGTGCATTATCACATTCCGTAACAAAATAATATCAAAGATGAACAATTTAAACAGATTTATTGCTTAAAAATAATTAAATTTTAAAAATTATTACATAAAATATAACCCAAATTATAATTCTAAAATATTACAAATTAAAAAAAAACGTATCTTGAGCAGTCGACGTGCTATTATATTTTTCAAAACTACAGATTATTTTTAAATTTACATACATAAAACAAAAAGTTATTACATCTATTGGATAACATGTAAACCAAACATGTATATTGATTAGAATTGAACGAATTGAAAGAAAAAAAATTAAAGTTTATACAGTTTGTTCTTTAAAAAGCACAAGTTCTCTTCTTTATTTAGATACAACAATAGAACGATCAGAGCTGTTCACACTGAGTTGAGTTCTATACAGAATAAATTAGTGACTGGAAAGCTTAACCGAAGGTTGGGTCCAAAGTGGGCTTGTTGCTGAAAAAAAATATTAAAAAATATTAATAAATGTAATATCAGCACTTAACTAATTCATTTAATAAAATAAATAGATGACATAAAAAAATACTGAAATTTGGTTTTTCTCGAATACTTTAACGTAAAATACCTATTAGGGAAAGTTGTGTTGCCTAGAACGAACATAAATTTTGAAATAAGATATAACACAGGGTTCGAACTCAATTTCGGAAGAAAAACAATTCCTGACTTTTCCAGGTAGATCAGGTAAATTTCAATAAAAATCCATACCATGTTTTATTTCTAACATGCAATTTTTCATCAGAAAATATGATTATTTTTTTATCTGAAATGTCAAATGTTTGATTGTGTGAAAAAAAATATAATAAAACTGGAAACATGAAAAAGTTTCACTAAAAAGTGGAATATTATTTAAAAAGTTCTAATAGATGTTGGACTTATTTAACTCGAATCTAAATAACTGATAAATGTTGCTAACAATTCCAAGACTGGTTATTTTCTAAGGCATAATGTAAGAATTACGCTAGTTTTTTTGCAAAAAATTGAGACATTTCCTGACTATTCCCTGCTTTTTAGTGATAAAAATCACGGACAATTCTAGGTTTTCTCTGATTCGTGGGAACCCAGTAACAGTTGTGTTCGTATTTTAAGAAATAATCCTTTAATTTAAGTAACGTTACAAAACTATTTTAATTCGATTTCTTATTTTTAGAATTTTAGCAAAAAAAGAAACAGAATGGAAGATTTTTTGTAAAAAAACAGCATTTGAAAGTATTTTACGTTGTTTCACGATAATGATCAGCTTATAAAAAATATTTGTACTAACATTATTTAATTACCAAAGTAGAATTTTTTTTCTCATTCTTTGACTATTTTTATAATAATATTAAATCAAAATTCAATTTTTTTTTGAATAAACAAATAATTATTTTAAAAAACGGCATTCAAAAGTGTTGCATTTTCAAAAGAATTATTGAGTTAATTTAAATGGAATTGGAAAATTGTGCATTTTCACGAATTTAGATTTGTTCTGAATAAGCGAGATGAACTTCTGACTTCAAGACCTCTCTAACAACTATATATATATATTTTTTACACGAGATAACTTTGTTTATTTATAAATTAAACTTAATACTTACGACATGGAGCATTCCGTGTTTCCGAATTGTTCACCTTTGTCCATACTGAGGCAGCCAGCACCACCGCCAAATCCGTATCCTTTAGGTCCGAATTTCCTACCATAGCATTGTTTGCAGAAAAGTTCACCGCCGTGCTCGGTGGCATTGGTACTGTCTAACCTTTTGTGGCACAGTGCTGGAAAAGAGTAAAAGTTATTAGAATACAAGTGGTAGAAAATTAGAATAAATATATTCACTAACGCCTACATAAAAATAGCTCAACATAAAAAAATGCTCCAAAAATCTGTGTCTAATTGTTTTACAAGCACCTTTAGAATAATTTAGTTCGTAATAAACATACGGAATCATTTTCTAACTCCTAATATATCACATTACTCTTTAAGAAAATCCAATTATGCTTCCATGGGCTGCAATAGTGGCACAACTCAAAAAATACGCTTTTTGGACTAAGAACATGTGTAAATATGAAAATACACATTCTTTCAGCAGCAATACTAGCACAACTAATATTTCAACTTTAATGTAATCTTTGTTTAAGCAAACTAAAGCTTTTCTTATGCATTTTGCTTTGCAATAAAAACTTTAAACCCACTTATCTTAAAACTTGATTTTCTGAGTTGTGTCTGTTGCAGCCCATGAGCGATATGTTCAATATTTGTACAAAATTGATGATTAAGATATGAAAATTTATAGGCCTATTCTGAAATCGGACGATAGAAAAATTACGCGATGCCAGTGCACAAAAGGACGTAATATATAAAACATTTTTTTTTATATATTTAAGTTTTAACGTCATGCTGTTGCAATTTATCATAGAAATTTACATCGTTTGGCCTGAATATGTGCCTAAAATCAATAACTTAATTTTTGCTTAAAAATTCTACTTTCTAATACTTTCGAGGAATAAGTCTCAATGTTTTACAGTGAAATTTGATTTGGAAGTTTTCTAAAATTACCAAGAACGTAAATTCTTCTTGTTACCACACTGTGTATATTATAAGTGTTAATAAGATAGATCAAAATTAGTGATTCTCAGCATTCACATGGATACTTTAGTATATTTTCATAATGTTTGTTAAATATCGTTATTTGCCACCACACTGTTAGAAATTTCTCGGAAAAAATGGTTAAATAACAATTTATTTAACTTTTATTTAACCATATTCAAGCAAGATAGTCACATAACTATAAATAAGATGGTATTCAAGCAGTTAACCGAAAAAAAAGTTTATTAATTTCTTTTCCTTAATACGGTTAAACAACGAGAATTTTATTGCACCAACTAAGTGACTTTTATCGCACCAACCGAGAGGGCAAATCTGTCAATCTCATGACCGACAAAGCGAGGGGTCGAGTCCCTAAGTCGACATTACAATATTTCCTTCATTTCCTTTAACACAAGAAGAGTTTCCAGTGTTCTGCACTCTCCTATTTGTGACTCTGGACTATTAGAATACGATACTCTCATTCACGCTGAGATAGCAGCACCATAAATCTGCTTAACATAAAAAAAGTCACAACTCTTACGATAAGTATACTAATTAAACCACATTCCACGATTCATTTCATAAAACACAACTCAACCCCAACCTAACCACAAAGCCCAATATGTAACGAAACTCTTAGCTCTAATGCTAGTTAAACCTCTTTTTTACGGTTTTGAAATCATACTAGTTGTAAACAGTTTCAAAACCGCAAAGGTAAAAAATGATCTTTAGTGACTGTCCTTTAATGGATTGACTGTTGCCGGTTATTTTACCGTAATTATAGAATGGAAATTCCAGCAGTGCACTTACATCAGCAAATTTTGACAATTAGCATACATATGAGGAATAAACGTTTTTGTTATCAAATCTCAATGACATGCCCTGTCATCAGGGCATGTCGAATGTTAACTTTTGTCCATGTGTGAAAAAAATTAAGAAATGTAACAAATACTTCAAACGTTCTCAAAAACGACTACATAATTTCTATCACTTTATGGAAAATAACGACAATTGCTTAATTTCGGTCAATCACGGTATTATATGCATTCCATTTTTAGTGACAACTCTTTTGAAATGAAACTCTTTTCCCCAGATTTCAAAAACATGTTTTTAAAGCAATTAGGAGGCTAAAGCGTTCGTTTCATTTATGATAAAAACCTTCTCTTAAAAAAATAAAAGTACCTCGTGTATTATTTATTTATCTTTTCCTTTCAATATCTATACATACCACATTTAAAGCAAGTTTTGTGCCATTTAGCTCCAGCGGCCAACATTTCCTCTGCAGCGTAAACTGATTTCCCGCATTTGGGGCATTTTGGATGTTCTTGGGGTACGAAAGGCATCTTTCACCTGAAAAAAAGAAGGGAAAAAAACAATCAAAATTACATTATTTTTAGATAGTAGGCGGCTGACTCATCTGCAAGAAAATACCTCTGCCAAGTTTTATTTTGGTTCCATTAAAAAACACTCTAAAAGAATCGTCTCTGACAACTATAAATATCTCGGGGCACGCTCTTTACCAGACACGAGATTTTTTTTTCTAAACTCTCACGCCTACCATACTCCCCCTAGAACATTCGAAACGCTCTATTTTTCTTTTATTTTTAATTTCTTCCCAAGTGAAGTTGGAAACGTCTTGGGATTCTCAGCGTTTCTTTGCGGTGATTCAACCACTGCTTATTGTTTGGAAGACTGCTAATGAGAAAGGTCTTTGTTTAGTTGACGTCGACATCAAACGAGCTACTGACTGATTCTTATCTTGTAGTTTTACGTCGTAATTATTTCTCTGAACTCATAATATTGGATGTCCTGTTTAACTTTTTGAGTGCACTTTTAACATAAGTATTTAAATTGATCCTCTTATGACTACGAGCTCCAAACCAAAAATATTTAATTCAAACGATAAAATAAGAATGCAGTCTCTGAATTTTAAAATTCCGTATTGACATTTTGTGTTGGATATAATTATATGTTTTTCTTAGCTGAAAATCCATGCAAAGTATTTACATAGTTTTAGACTACATTCAATATCAGTAACACATTTGTATAAACTTAACTTACAATATATATGTGTTAAGTATTTATATACAACCAGTTTATAACTTATAAGGATAACATGTTTGCAAAAAAAACAGCTCCCTATCTATTTCGGTAAAATGTTTGTTTGAATTCAGCTTTTAATCTATAAGGATATAATATTTATCCAAATTTAGTTTACAATCTATATCGGTGAAATATTACATAAATTTAGCTAATATGTGTTATCTATATTAATATTTTCTATCTGAATCTGTAAAGCATTTATAAAAAATTTAGCTTGCAATAATATGCATTAATTCTTTACCACTGTATGTGTTATTTATTTGAAAGAAATCCTTTTAAATAAAGAAAAGTAACGAGTTTTCTTTTCAAAAAATAAATTTTCTGCATAACAAGTTTTTTTTATTAATTTATTTATTTATTTGAAATCCTTTCGTAAATTTTTTATTTCTAAGCTCTTGTTGTTGATTTTCTTTTCGAATAAAGATCCGTTTTTGAAAGACACAGCAGTTAATTTTGAATAATGCATAATTTGAAATAGTTCAAAAATCACATTTCCATTTCAAAATATTCATTTTGGAAAATATTAATGCATATTTGTTTTTACACTTTTTCACCCGAATATAAACGATTTTAAGAAAACGATAACTATGATAAACAACGAATCTCCCTAATTAAATATTTTGTAAATACTTATGTGTCTTAAGTATTTACAAATTATAAATATGTACATTATAATATCCATTATTCTTTCGTTGTAAATATGTATATTTTTATAATAATGTATGTATGCAGAGGCTACGATTCTTAATACTATTCACGGATTCTATTATTCGTAAATCCGCTTACTTTTTGAATGCATGAACAATATGGGTTGAAATAAACAGCAAAGAAAATTTATCAGATCCAGACAAAATAGTCAATTAGATGCCTGAAATATAAAATAATTTTTGAAGTCCTTCCATTTGATATTTTTTTTAAAATCCTAGCTCCTAGTTGGTCTTTATAAATGGCATAAGTTATGTAAACGTTTAATGCCTACTTCGGATTTAAATATACATTATTTAAAATTTTGACTAGTCGTAACAATTTTGAACCAATGATAAACCGATAATGATTTAAAATTATTCGAAATTAAACACTTCATTCTGATAAAAACAACGTTTCACAAATTTCGATGCAAGTTTCCCCAGGCTTGAGAATTTGAAGACATTTTATGTCTTATAGATTGGAGAAAAAAAAACTTTTTTTCTCAATCTAAAACTTTGAACCCAAACATAAATACAATTTATTTTATCCTTTAGTTCTTCTTAAAGTTTTTTTACTCTTCTCCTTTATTTTATTTTAATATAATTAGATATATTCGTTTTTCGAAATGACAACGTATCGATCATTCTGATCAAACAAACGTAATCCACAAATCCTTTTTTCGCGTGTGGCTCAACAAACGTAATAAGTAAGTCTTTAAACATGATAAAGGAATGGCTTTACCTTTTTGCAAATGAATGATTGCGAATCAATATAACATTCAAAAGTTATAGAATTGAGTACGCTGTGTTGTTTATTTACATTTACAGAAGATAGTTTTAGTATTGTGTTTAAATAAGAAACGGTTTTTATAACGGTAGTCGGGTACCTTAAAATGACCGCAGAAATGAGTTTTTTCTCAAGTTAACGAAATTCTTTGGATTTGGGTTAAAATTAAATGACTGAAAAAAGTGAGCCCTGAAAAAATTTTGGTGCAAGAAATATAAAACTGGTTATGGTTTTTTACGATATATTCTTTCTATAGATAGATCTGCCAACTTTTACTCTTTCCAAGGAAATATTCCCCAAATGGTAATGAAAGGCTAATTTATGTGCAATTGTAGATAAAATTAAATTTTCACAATGGCTTATAGTCATTTTCATTTCTTTAACTTGCTCTTATATACAAGATTGATTTACCTGAGTTTAGTGGTAGTCAAAATTACATTGAATTAAATTTATAAGCTTACGGAACAAGAAGAAATTCATAAGAATCCTTATAAATATAAAAATGAAATACACAAGCAATCCGTAGTTGTTGACAAATATGTATCAAATATGGCCTATTACTAATGCGAATTTACGAGATAGATGTTTAAGAAATACAGTAACCTAACCTATCACATTTGCATAAATTTTTTTAACGACACCATCATTAACAATAAACTTTTACAACTCTAAATTATGATTCATTTTTTTATAACTTTTATTGGCATTTCCCACTACTAATTATTTAAAAATTCATAACACTTTTTTTTTGTTCATTATTGCAGATTTTCTTTTTTAAAATACAAACAATGACCCCAGTCGTCACGTTTTTCCTTGACAAAATAGTAATTATTTTGTGTAAAAACTTAAAAAGAAATACCATAACGTAGAAAAAATTGAGTACAAAAATTATAATATAGAAAACAAACATATTTATGAATCGAAAGTTCATTAATCTAGCTTAATGAGAAGATTTTTCCTCGGAAAAAATCGATCATTAAAAGAGTTTTTGCCGATCAAGGGTACAACAGGTAAATTACAAAATCGATATTTATTGGAAACTGGATGTTTGCTAACACTGGCCTACTTTGCTTAAAAAATACTCACACTCCCTAATTATAGGTTTGCTACCTTTCTTCCACTATGCCCAATTGTTTGAAAAAGTATAAACTAACATCACATAAAGAAACAAATTGGAACAGTACATTCATTGTATGAAACTGAAGTATATCAAAATGAGAAATTTGTTAGCTTATAGTAAAGGATTGAAAAAATGGGTTTATTGATTTTGACTTTCTCTTCAAATAAACAATATAGCTTTTTTTTTAAAAAAAAAAGTAAAAATGCAAATTTGAATTACTGCATAAAATCCGTTAGCAATATCAAAGTGCAATTTTCGGTATGTGTTTTTCTTTTTTTAATGCATCAATTTTACTAACTTGATAGTATATGAACGAGGAAAAAAAATCCAGCATAATATTTCGGTTTATATACGTTGTTGAAAACTTAAAGAAAACCGAATGTTTTTTTTCCCTCAAAACTTTTAAGGGGTGGCCATATATGGGAATGCATGATCTATAAATGGCTGCCGTGGGTGGAACGGGAGTATCACGTGATCACGTCCCGGGAACGGAGAGAGCGTGGGATGAAGGGATCTGGCAACACAAGAATCGTTTTTAAAACACTTTTTTTTTCTTTCTTCTTTTAGGACTTCTCGAATATTCTTTTCTGGAAAGGGTGTTGGATAGAGCTTAGGTAGCCAAAAAATTATTTCTAGAATCGCTAATAAAAACTACTCTGTGAGTTATCTCCCAGTCAAAACTATACCACGCTTTTTTATTTGATTTTAATGACTCACGCTCGTTCAATCTTGCAAACTACTTTATTATCTTTCCCCTCTGTATTTTAATTAATCACTGTAAGTTGATGTTTGAAAGCTATTTAATTTAATAGGAGTAAATGAACTTTTGTTTTGACCTGCATAAAAACCACTTTTATGACTCAACATCGTTTAGATTTTTATAAGGTTTGCACAGAAACCGTTGCTCGAGAAAAATTAAAGCAATTAAATGTATTAGGTAGAAGTAAAATTTCATTCCCCATTGAAAATGATGCTATGCGGATTGAGAAAGATTTTTAAAAAATGTTACCAACGAAATTGTGAACACTATTAGAAACACTACTAGAAACTATTAGAAACTGATTAACCTAAGGAAACTTTCCAAAGAGTTTGACAGTTTAAAACACATTGAGCTATAATATCATTCAAATTTCTGCCATTTTAAACGTTATTATCGTGCGAACTAATCAGTTTGTGCAAAATTTGAGCCAAGTCGAATATTCTTTTCTCAAAATTGTGTTGGAAAGAATATAGGTCCAAAACAATTATGTCTAGAAACGTTATAAAAAATTTCTCCTAGTTAATATTATTCCATGTTTTTTTTTTTTAATTTTTGGTAAGTCTCCCGCTCAATCAATCTTACAAGCGACTTTAACATCTCTCATTTTCCTACCTTAATTAATCAAAAAAGGTATTTGAAAGTCATTCGATTTAATAAATAAAAAGGAACTTTTATTTTTATCTTTATAAAAACTTAACGACCTTTAAATTTTTATAAAGAAATACGATGCAATCGTAATTCGTGCTTATTTAAATTTAAATGCAAAAAAGTTACTAACAATCATATATGTTAGTCAACTTCAAAAGTTTGTGTCCGAATTAAAATTGTTGTTATGAGGCTCGGGCAGGATTGCAAAAGATTATTGGCAACAAACAATTGTGAACAATTGTGTGA